CTTACCTATACCATTATTATTATTATTATATATATTATTATATTATTATTATATTATATACCATACATTATTCTATTCTGTGCCTATACCGGCCAGTCTGGCTACTACCACTATTATAACTGTCAATTGCTTTTCTTTTATCCTGCAAAGCTTTATAACGTTAATTATATAATTAAAATTTTATTCACGTACCATTTTTAATACAGTTTAATTTTTTTTCAATAAAACCATAGCTTGATGATTTGTATATTTAGAAAAAGCAATACATCTGAATTATATAATCGTTAAATCGTGTCTTATTATGATATATTCTTGTATCTGAAAAATAATTCCCTGCAATAACTGAATAAGAAAACATTAAAAAATACATTTTCCTAAAACAACTATTTAAACGAAAAATTGACTCTAAAAGTATTAAATAAAAATATTATATTCATGTTTGAAAGTATGAGTACAAAATAAATAGATTTAATAACTATGTACAAAATTACAATAACCGAGAGTCACAAGACACTTAACAAAATAAACATACTTTCGTTATAATACGTAATGCAAATACGTGTATAATAGCCAGCACAGTTTTTAAATTGTTTACTTAATTCCAGCTACTTAATTCTTAATAAAATAGGTTGGTTTAATTATTAAATAAAAACTACCGCAACCGCACTAATTATCTCTATCGAATTTTATTATTATACATAAATAGTTGCTTGTGTTTAAGTTGGTGTCTCCGTGGAAATTGTCGTCGTTGTTATAATTAGATTTGCGAYATTTGCGTATTGCGTGTATTGCATCATCGTACCTTATAACTTTTGTCAGTAATCAACGGTTAACTCATTACCCGACCAGACTTTATGGTTATAGCGGATTGAGTGCTTTAGGCCGTCACGTCGTATATCCGATATACCTTTTCGTTTATATTTTGTAAGCAATTTAAAGTCTATGACCGTGTTTGAGTACCTATCTAGCAAGTCGGTCATCATCGGCAATAGTCCATAGGTGACTGACTATTAATTTTAGACAACACGTTGAACAACAATAAGTAACATTGCAGTGTTTCGCAGAAACTATAGTTTAAATATTATATATTRTAGTCATAAGATCACATAATATAATAATATATGGAGATCGAGTGTAGTCACTCACATGGGCGTTTACCCTATGCGTTGCATACCCTTCGGGCAGACGCTTGGGAGCACTTGAACAAATTAGTAACCAAAAGTGTAAGATGAAATGTCATGCTCATTAATTTTAGGGTCATTTATATCTGTTGGAGAGGGGCATATTTTATCAGCCGCATACCCTGCAAATAAAGTCTGCGCACGCCTATGACAGACAATAGACAAGTATATTGTGTTAAATATTATTTACAAAAAAAACAAACTAATGTGTAGTGTATATTAAACTGAAACGTGGACTGATAAGTCTTAAGTTTCCCTATTTCCCTTAAGATTAGCTGTGCTGCCATAACTATAAATACATCAGATTACGTTTTCAGCCTTCTCCATGTCACCACTTAAACTGTGATGGGAATTACTGCGACTTCCAACACCTAATCTTAAATTATCCTTSTCTATCCATCCAAAGAACCCAACTAAAGTYCCATTTCTCTACTTAGTACTTATGGATTCAGCTTTTCCCTCATCGATACTCTTTGAACCGACAAGGCAACAATGTTAACATAGTTAAACATACACTTAACTATATAATGCGATCAGGCCTCAGAATTTAAAAGTATGAGCTTCAACAATTATTTTAATAGAAGTATTTATGAATGTTCTTTATTAATAKTCCAGATATTATAGTGTTAGTTAAAATCTCAACAAAATAAGTTCTTAAGTAGTAACAAACAAGCGGGTGGGTGACGGTGAGCCAGGCCATTTTAATGATGATGAGTAAGCTTGATTGAAGGTCAGTAAAAATAGATACCTATCATAGTGCGAATTTATCGGTGCTTAATAATTTATTTTATTGATTTATATTATACAAAAATATTATAAATATAATAATATATAGCTTATAGTTATATTAGCAGCTTATATGGTCGAAGACACGAACTAAGGTATATCTTAGTCCGTGGTCGAAGATTATAATCATCACCTGATAATTCGTGGTCGTTATCTTWTTATCATTTTATTGTTTATGCTCTTATCAGTTATCCGATTTACATTAACTAGTATTTACTCACGTGGCCACTTGCGCCAAGTGCCGCCTAATCAAGACAAATAACCTTAAACAGTAAACACTTCGACTTCACAGATCACAATATTCTGTAGATGGTAATCAGTATTCACACGTTCTGTTTTATAGACACTACAGTACTACACAGTGAACATTTCTTCGAAGACAAACGCACAAGTTCAATATGACCGCAGATACAAGCGTCGCAAGCGTGACCGATCCGACCAGCAAAAAAGTTCCATACTCCACCAGAATCAAATATCTCAACGAAATTGCCAAGCCCTTGGCACCCAAGGCGCTTACCAAAAAAATCTACAAACTCGTTAAAAAAGGTGTGTACCACTAATAAATAATAATAATCAATAATAAGACAAAAATCCAAATATTATAGATAATCTAAAATTGTAATTTTCATAATTTGYAAATGGCCCTATATGCATCGTTTTTTCTTACCAGTCCCTACTAATTTCTTATTAAATTTGATAATTCACGAAATCAACAAAATRATTTTATCCAACAAATATTACGAAGTATCATGATGCAAAACATTACCTTATGCATTATTGTACACAGTTTAAAGAGAATGTGATGCATGCATGCTCCTACACTAGCAGTTCTACAATATTACTCTATGCCAATGTGTATTCAACTTAATTATAATATATTGCTCTAATATTATGATATAGGTACTTATTAAATTGTAAAGGTATAATTCTATGTTACTGATCACCATTTTTTCTATTTTAATGTATACAGTTAACCATAGGTACTAAAAATGATGGTGAGTCAACATTTGATGGTCAGGATAAATTTTGAAGCTATAGCAATTGGAAGTATGAYTTTGTATGTTTTAAGATTTTAAGCTGATGATTATTATCTTATTCTCAGCAAAATGGCCTAACCTAACCTGTAGTTGAAACTTAAAATTGGCATCCTAAAGCTGTGATATCCAATCTTTGGTCAGCCAAACTAATTAATTTTTTTTATAAATATGTTTTAATAATATACACAAAAAATGTTGGAGACGCCTGTCCTTAGGTTTCATTTATTTCCTTTTATTTTATATGCTTCATATTGAATAATAGACATTCACATATCATGTAAGCAGTTACAAACATGAGTTACATTTTTTTTGCAAGATTTCATAGAAGGGGATGTTTGTCAACTAGGTAGTAATGCTTTTCAAAACTGCATGTCAATCTCTTATGTAGATAAAATTTATCAATACATATTTTTAATTGTGAGCACCTTGTTTTTCAATAAAACTTCATAAGAATATTAAATAAATTTATCTGAGGATGCATAAGTTTAACTTCTGCAAATTGTCTTTTTTAATTCATTCAAGTGGATAATGCAATGCAATAGTTCAACACTCACCATATATTCCTATTATTTATGATTATTTGTTGTGATTGGACCCAGCCTTATAAAAAAACATTTTTTCAATTATAAAGAGTTYATTAATTATTAAATACGTGATTTAATATTCAACATACTTCTTACATTTAACTTTTTTAATTTAAGATCATGGCAATAATATGTAYTTGTACAAACAAAAAARTACATATATAGTTTGTACCAAAATAACATTTTTGGATAATTATTAATAATTATTTTCCAAGTCTATTACCTAATAGATACATATTTAAAAAACTTGCTTATTATGCATTTATACTAGGTTATATACATACTTATTTCATTGTTTTTTTAGCCTATTAAGTTCCAAGCCCTGATGATACTGGAGCATTAAAAGAATTAATTAAAGATAGAACATATTTACATTTGGAATGAATAAATGAGCAGTTAAAAAAAATGTCTCATGTGGGATGACGCTGATAGGCAGAAATTTATACAAAAGGTTGAAATATGTAGACTAAGTTTGAATGAGTATAAAAGTAGCAGAAAGTGAATATATTTTTATGGATCGTTTAGGTTTGTAGGACTAGGGGAGTGCAAAAATTTAGGTAAAGGCTTAATATTTAATTTCTATACCAATGAGAAAAAGTCTTCCCCAACAGCTAAGCCATAATATTTATCAACATTATTTTTTTAATAACATTGTTTAGAAGTTTGACCATAGTGGGACTACAGAAGGATGTAATTGTTTTCTTACCTCACAATTAATTTTACTTTTGGTTGTTCACAATYGTATAATATTATTCTAGTTGTGAATTCYTGTGATTGAATATTGATTCAAAAAAAAATTTTTTTAATCATCTTAATTTAATGAAATATTAAATAAGATCCCACAAAAAAAGAGGTAACTTTTCCAAACAAATGTTGTAACATTTTGAGAACTTGGCAATTATTTGTGTAGAATTAGTAGTTTATACAGAGTGATCTAAGAGCCTGCTSWCATTATTTCAAAAATATTTTTTATATAATTGATATCATTTTAAAACATTTCTGAAAAAAATTATATTTTCAAAATTTTTGTTACCTATTAATTTTTAACTTTCTTACTTTGAATGACATAATTTTTATTTCATATTTCTGGGCAGAATACTTTTTATAAATAGTATAATATATAATTTTGGATAAGTAGTAATTGGTAGTAATTGTAGTAATTGGTAGTAATTGGTCTTTTAAGCATTTAAAGTTTTTATGAGCAAAGTAGTGCTTACAGGAATCCCCCCTCCCAAAATATTTCTTCTACACTGCATGAAAATGAAATAATTGTCAAATGCTTTAAATAAGTTGTAAAACAAATAAATACATTTTTTTTAGTAGGCAGTTCATGTATGTAGTAGGTGCCTGGTGCCTAATTAGTAATTACTGAATAATGCATGCTTTTGTTATGAATTTTAATTGTTATTATTAACAGTGTATTTTTATTTTAGCACATAAAGAAAAGACTTATTTAAGAGTTGGTTTGAAAGAAGTGCAACGAAGAGTCCGGAGAGAAGAAAAAGGGTTAGTGATTTTTGCTGGTGATGTGTCACCAATTGATATTATGAGTCATATGCCTGGTGTATGCGAGACAAAAAATCTTCCTTACTGTTATGTGCCTTCACGTGACGACTTGGGTTCATCTATGGGTGTTAAACGATCTGCTGTCATGGTACTTATCAGAAAACATGAAAACTATGGAGATTTATTTGATGAATGCCAGAGCGAGATCAAAGCTCTGCCCTATGATTTTTAGACTACTGAAATTAAACATCAATGTTTATTAACTAAGAATAATGTTACAATTAATTATAATTAAACAAAATATATGATATAAGTAAAATAAATTTATCTTTGTAATTATTTAAAAACAAAATTCGTATTAATACCCATGTATACATAATTGGTAGTTAATTATATAAACCACAAATTTGAAAATCTATCTAATGAAAAGTGTACAAGAGTATTATAAAAGTACATAAAACAACAACTCCTCCAACTATAAAAGAATCACGTTTTTTACGCATATTAATTTTTTGTACAAGGGTATTGAGAGCAGGAAATCTACTAGACAAATCGTGGAGTCTAGATTGTAAACGTTTAAAATGATGCCGTTGTGATACTAAATGTTCTCTGGTTTCCATAGCAATTGCAATCTGATCAGATACTAAACGATCTGAATTACGCACRTGTTCGTGTTCTTTAACATATAAATCCATACGTCTGTTTTTTGTACCAGAATTTTTGTAACCACTAAAAACAAAAATTCCTAATAAGTAATTTATTGAKGCTAGTGTGTATAGAATATTATAGATTTACTCAATGTCCTGCCGAACACTGTGCAATAAATCTTCCCTTTCCCTCCGAGCTCTAACATTGGATAGTATTTTTTGAAATTCTTTAGTATAATCTTGTAAAATATCTCTGTGWCGCTGAACAGTATGCACATTTTGTGAAAYWGTAGATTGTTCCCCATTGGTACTCCATTCGCTCATTTTTTCATTGACTGTATTAAGCTAAAAAACCCACAAACAAAATATAATTGTATACGTTTGTTTAAATGGAGTTGTTTTACCTTAGCCAACAGCTCTTCGATTTCAGATGTGGCTGTTTCAAATCGATCATCGGACAACAATAACTGTGATTCATCATCACTGTACATCATAGGATTATTAGTACTAATTTTACTTAACGACAACAGCATTGAGTCGATTTCTGTTTCCAGCCTTCTGGCTTGTTTTCTCAAATCTATAAAATTAATGATTAAAATATGTATAACTATATTTTTTTAACAACATAATAAGTTTTTAACCCATTTCACATTTCTTATTTATGAAATAGAATAATTGAGTTAGGAGGTGTTTTTATTTCAATTTTTTTTTTTATACCTATATGGTACCTATAGCCAATTTTTTATTAATGAAATCCGTCAAAGTTAAATTTGACAGATACTCAGTTAGKATTCCACGTCGTTCGAAAACCGAACAAATGAGCCTTCGTAAACCAAACGTTATGAATGAAACCCAGAGAATTCATTTTATGATATTATACCTTCCCAAGACGGTGACGACGCCATATTTCCMCGATTGGACACGGCGAGTGAAGATTTCGGGGAATGTTCGATGCCTCATCCGATCRAACGACCTCCACGGTAGAACACAGAATAGACAGAAATATGTCAAAAATCGTTGATGTAACCAGCTAAATGATGTAACTCAAGCGACGAGTTTAGGCCTTCGCCTTAGATAATGCATCGCATCGTATGAAACTGTGAATATGAAAAATACGACGACGGTGTGTGATACTGATAAGAATATGATATCCATATTATCATCACAGATTATAATCACGGCTTTAGATAGAATGGTTGCGCGTCGACGTATTACTGACCATGACTAAATAGATCTATTTAGTCATGTTACTGACTATGCAATAATATGTACTCACAAATCACAATTCAGTATTCACATGAATTGACTGACAGTTAGTGCCATCTAGCGTTGACTTCTATATGTTTTACTAAATCGTGCTAAAAACAGTAATTTTGTTTTTGGGTATCTCAAATCTCAATTATTCACTGGCTGTTTCACTTTACTTCTTTGCACATTGTCAACCATTTACTATTCTATGGACTACAAYGCTGTCGTTGTTTAATTTTAATACTTACTATTATAATACTAGGTATATATTTTCAACACATTTTTATAGTAGGTAAATCGAGCAAATAAATTCCTAAATATTTAATTATACACTGAAATACAAGTTATAAGTTATAAGTGCAATAGTAATTATTAAACATTTTGATAAATAATTTAAATATAATATAATACAAWWTAAATTAATTAATTAAATAGGTACCAAGTAGCTAGTCATGAGGACAGTTTAAGCTAAATTATAATCAACTAATTAAGGTTTATTTTATAATATTTTGATAATTAAAAATTAAAAAGTGATTTTGGCCAATAAAAAAATTGTGGTGCACATTCCGTGCAGAAAATAAGCATTATAAATAATAATAATATCCTATAGTTCATATTCTGACCAAATTGTGACTGTACTGGTGTTCAACGGTCAACACCGAGAATTTTGGCGGTGTGGAAAATTATACGATACTGTGATTTTAATATAAGTGTTCACATTCGCATGTAGTGTGCACTAGTGCAATCAGATGGAAAACTCTAATTATAAATGCATATTTTAATAAGCATAAAAACAAATAGGTTCTGTGCAGCAGCAGCTGGAGCGTTGGATTCGTTGCCTTGATAATGAATACAATTATTATGTGTTTTGGCGGCATAGAATGATTAATTAAAAAAAATATATACATAGTAATTTGGTTTACCATAACGCCCATAACCATATTACGGGTAAGCAAAAAACATGTCAAGACTGTAAATTTACATATTCTATAGTGGTAAAAACGGTAAGCACATAGAAAAGAGATAAAAGAGTGAGAGCGAAATAGGTGAAGCCTAGACTTAAAGTGCATATTTAATAATTTCCTCCCCCTAATTTTGTGGTTTTTTTCCTTTTCTATAAATTGTTTTTTCGATGAACGCAAATTGGATTTCAACTTGGAAATAGTTGTAATAATTGAAAATACATATTATATTTATTTAGATTTTAAAGTTAATAATTGTTTTGTGAAATATTAATTAACTATACACATATATATATATATATCCAAGAAGGAAATGTTCTAATGTAAAATATTTTTGGTTAACATAAGATACTGAATGTGAATTGGGTGAGATTAATTCAAATTTGACAAATTCAACTTAGATCAAATTTGTTATTTCACTTACAAAAATTTACATGAGTTTATGACATTATGTTTTATTAGCTTCTGCATATAAATATAAAATATTATAAAAGAAAAATATAAAGATATAAAAGAAAATTTACAAACTAATTAAAATAATTTTTGTAATAATTTAGATCCTACATACTTATAAAATATTTAACAAGCGTCAATTTTTTTTTTTTTTTTGTTGATCATAAATCAGACTCAAGTCAAGAAAATCAAGTCTTAAAATAAAAAAATGAATGTATTAAATTTTAAGTCTATCCCAACTCATATAAAATAAAAATCTATAAATAAATATGTTTTTGCTTTAATTATGACACAAATTGTTCATATTATATAACAAATATAGCAATGCACTAAATTGGTCACAGTTAAAGTTTTATAATATATAATATAGAACAAAATATAATTCAATACTTAAAATAAACGGCTATACAAATGCAAATTGAATAATTTTAATCTTATAAACAAAAAATACATAAAAAATATAAATATAAGTATTTAACTGTAAAGTTGAAGCTATACAGATTTTAAACCAGTTTTAACAATTTCTTTCATTTAGTTGCTTTTCAAGTTCTTCAATTTTAGCTTTTCGGTGATGTAACATCATTTTCATCATTTTACTATCCTTTTCAAATTTAGCAATTTTTTCAATCATGCTTTTGTGGTCAGCCACCTATTAAAAAAATATTATAACATTAATAAAGAGAGAAAAAACAACATTTATTATTCAAAACTTAAATTTATTTAACTTACAATTGCACTACTCACTAAGCTCTGTTCTTCAACAGTTTGAGTGCATTGATCTACTCTAGTCACATTTGTAATTTCTTTCAAACGACGTAATTCTCTACGCAACATATTATTCTGTAAAGATATATATAGAATAGAATTAAATGTGTCTAAAATATACATATTGTTAATGAAAAAAACTAATCATCTAATAATATTATACTATACACAATATACATACTGGTGCTGTAAACRTTAATGTTTTTTGTTTTAATATGCCYATTAGAGTCATAACAGTTTTGTRTATAAATTTCAGATTCACAAATGATAATATATAAGATATAAATAGTTTAACAAAATAATTTAATGACAATGTTACCTCATCTCTTGCCCTTCTAAAGATATTTTCCAATTCATGATTCTTCTTTTTGAGATCATCAGTGTTCGTTTTGGAAAAAAGTTCTAATGTGGATATTTTGGCATTCTTATCCACAATACATCGATTCAATTGTTGGATATCTTCTTTTAATGATTTTTCTAACATTTTAGCAGTCTCTGTCAAAGAATTAATTTAAATAAAAAATATAGTATAATATATACATTTTTACAAGAACCTAATGTTTCCCTTACCTGATAATTGACTGTATTCGTTTGATAGTTCCAAGTTTTTAGCTTGAACTTGACTCAATTCATTTTTCAATTGCTTCAATTCTTTTTCATGTTGTACAATAAGCTGACCTTTGTCTTTTCTTAATTCGTATATATTTTGTTCATAACCAAAAATTTCTTCATTTAATTTTTTGATATCATCATTGAAGCTTTTAAATTGTTCATTTTTGCTTTTTAAAAAATCTCTTTCTTCTGTTAATAATACAATGTTTTGCTTCAGTTCATCCAATTGAGTCAAAAGTTCTGCAATCTTATCATCCTTATTCTTAACTTCTTCTAACATAGACTCACACTCATTGTCTAGGTCGGCATTAGACTGTTTCAATTCGTTTCTTTCTTCTTCCAWGTCTTCACATTGGTTAATCAATAAACAAACATTATCGTAGAGTGTCGATAATGTACCATCGCACTTGAGTATTTTTCTTAGTTTTTCAGTTACATTATTTACTTCTATTAAGCTATTTTCATTCATTTTCAATTTAAATTGATAATTTTCAATTTTTTCATCTTTAATCTTTGAAGTCTTTGAATAACTTTCTATTTGTTTCTCAAAGTCATTATTTTTTAATTTATAAGTTTTGAGATCATGGACTAGTTTTGAACATTGTATTTCAGTTTCCTCGAGTTTTGTAGTTTTTGCCCTTAAATCTGATTCTAGGCTTTCAAGTTCTAAATTTTTGACTTCTAACTCTTTTTGAAGATTTTCTAACTGTGTATTGTGAATTTTACTTATTTGACTACCACCCTCTAATTCTGCTAATCGTACAGCAGAATTATAATTTTCTTGCAAATGTTTAATTTTTGATAAATTTAATGAATTCTCTTCGAGCAGTTGTTCGTTATTTTTTTTTGTTTCTTTTAGCAACTTTTCTGTACAATACATCTGATGTTTTATATTACTTAAATCCAATTCAAGTTCATTAATTATCTTTTCATGATGAATTTTTGTTTCTTCTTTTTGTAAACTATATTTTTCAATCAATGATTCATACTCTTTTGTCTTCAATTGAAATCCATCAAGTAAGTTTTTGATGTCTTCATCTTTTTTGTCAATAACAGATTTTAGACAAGCACATTCTGATTGAATTTTTTCTACTTTATCTTCCAGACTAAAACGACAATCTTTTTCATCTTTGTACATAATTAATGATTCATTGTATTGTTTGGTTAGATTTTCAAGTTTATTTTTCAAATCTTGTAATGACAGCTCTGAACTAGTCTTAAATGCTTCAAATTCATTTGACAATGACTGATAATTGTGTTCATTTGTTTTAGTCAATTGAGTCTTTAATTCCTCCAACTCATTTAGATAATTAAAAGATAAATTCTCAGCATCCAAAACTTTTTCTGTCAGTTCTTTTATTTTTAATTCTCTATTAGGGAAGTTGTGTTGTTGAGATTTCAGATTTTCAAGCTCAAGGCCAAGTTTTTCATTTTCATTTTCAACTTGTTCTTGCCATTCTTTTCCTTTTTTTATGTCTTCTTGGAACTGTTTGATTTGATCTTCATAAAGCTGTTTAATCTTTTTGTGGTCATTAACTAAGTCAGTTACAATTTGTTGTTCTTTTGTCATTATAAGATTGACAAAAATATCCAATAAATTAGATAAATTATGGTCAGTGAGAACACCTGTAATTTTTCCAGGTTCAAGAAGATTAATTTCATTTATAATATTTCTTTTACCATTTCTCAACTCTGAATCAATATCATAGCTATAATAAATTTGTTCTTTATTAGCTTGGTTATRTTCTTCAAGTTTGTTGTATTGTATTTTAAGTTCATTCAATTCATTTACTAAATTGCTTACCAATGATGTTTTTTCTTTTAGATTGTTTTCCATTAAAGTTATATCATTATTCAATTTTTCATTTTCATCAGATAGTTTAATAATTTGGTTTTGTGGTTCATTAATTTGTTCTTTTTGTTCAGCATTTAATAGTTTAACTTGACTCAATTCATCATTTAAATTTTTAATCAACAAAGTTTTTTCTTTTAGATCACTTTCCACCAAAATCATATCATTTACATATTTATTAATTTCATTAGATTGTGTTTCCATTTGGCATTGAAGTTGAGCAATATTTTTTTCCATATCATTGTTAGTTGTTTGAAGATTTTTGATTAAATCATTTTTTTCATTTAATATCTTATGTAAATTATCAATTTCTAAGCCAATGTCAATATCAGGAGAATTAGGTTGCAAGTCACAGTTTATCTTTAATGACTCTTCATGTGGTAAATTATCATCCTCGACAGACATAACTTTTGTTCTAAACCGTTTTTCACTTTGGTTTCCTGAAATAATTGCAGAATTGAGCTCAGTGAGTTTCAATTTAATATCATGTACATAATCTACAAGTGGATCGATTAGCTGATTTCTCACATCACGACCACTCAAGTTATTTTTATCAATTTTATCGTCAACTTTAGATTTAAGATTTTGTAATTCTTTTTCTACACATTCAGCATTGATGCATGCATTTTCTAATTCTCTTTGAACACTATATAATTCAAATTTAAGGTTTTCACAGAAATCTTCACTTTTTATTAAATCATATTCAGCTTCATTCAAACAAGTTTCTAAATTTTGTTTAACAGAATTTGCATCTTTTATTTCAATTACTAAAACATTAATAATAGAAGCCAAATCTTCACATCGTTCTTCACTAAGTTCCATTTCTTTAGTGACGTTGGAGAGTTTTTCTTGAAGTCTGTTCAAGTTAGATTCAAGATTTGCTTTTTCCTCAATTAGAATTTTTTCAGACTCTGTTTTTTTAGACAGTTCCGATTTCATTAAATCAAATTCGTCATTTAAATCCACTAAAACATTATCTTCAAAATCATTAACCCTGATTTGAAATGAATCATTTCTTGAAAACAAAAATTCAACGTTTTTCTTATATTCTTCCAGTGCAATACATTTGGATTCTAAATTATTTCTAAGAATTTTTTCAGATTCTTCATTTTTTGACAATATTGATTCAAAATGCATTATTTTTTCTCGAGCTTCATCACATTCACGAGATCTCAACATGTATTCTTCTTCTAATCTATCATATTCATATTGTAAACTGGATTCAAGTACTTGTTTTTGTAAGTGTTCAAGCTCTGTGGATTTTATTAAAATCTCTTCTCTCAAATTAGATTCTTCAATAGATTGACGTTTTAATAATGATTCAATATCGCAAGACAAATTTACAAATTCTGAATATAAACTATTGTAATTCAATATTTGTAATTGTACTTGATTTTCTAAAATATTTTTCGACTCATCATGATGTTTTGACAATTCCATAAACTTTTGGTTAATCAGATTCAAATCAGATTGAATCAAAGATTTTTCTTGGAGAACTTGTTGTAACTGCCATTTAATATCTCTATAAGTTTGTTCATTATCTTTCATGTTGTTTAACATGGTTTCATTAATTTTATCACATTTTATAATTAATTCAGAATTTACATTTTCTAATTTGGAAATTAAATTTGATTTCATGTTTAAATCAGATGTAAGTTGGTCTATTATAACAGCATTTAATTTTAATTCATTCTCCATACTTTCTAGTTTTATTTGATAGTTATTTTCCTGGGACATTGCATGTTCTAATTCAATAGTTTTAGATTTAAGTTCACCTCTTATTTCATTTTCAACTCTAATTTTATCTTCCAAACTCACTCTAAGTTCAGTAATGGTTTTATGTATTTGATCATCCGAGTTCTTCCATTTTATTGTAAGTTCTAAATTTGTGTTTTCTAATTTTAAAATAATTTCAGTTTTTTCATCAAGTGCAGATTTAATACATTTAAGTTCAGAGCTCAGTTGTTCCACAATGGAAATATATGATTCATGATTTATATGCAAATTATTTATAACTGATTTTACTTCATCAACCATTAAAATAGCACCATCTAACTCTACCGTAACTAACTGTAATTCATTATTTAACGCTTTTTCATTATTTAATTTTTCCTCCAATGCAGATTCAAGTTTTTTAATAGTCCTGTTAAGTTCAGAAATTGTTTCTAAATTGTTACACATTTTCTCTTCAGATTTAGTAATTTTTAATTCATCCACAAGTTTAGATTTTTCAACTAATTCAAATTTAATATCACTGAGTTCATTATTTAATTTTTCAATAACACTAGAATTAGAATTAGTTTTTATTTTCATGTCTTCAATTGTTAATTGTAAAACATTAACTTGTGAAATTGCATTTTCTAATTCATTGGTTTTTAATAGTARTTCATCATGAATTTTGTTTTCATTCTTTGATTTGACAGCAGGTTCAAATTTAGAGTTTTCAAATTCAATAAGTTTTAATTTTTCACCAAGTTCAGACACCACTAAATTTAATGAAGTTCTTAATTTATCTATTTCAGAATCATTAAGTTCAAGCTTTCTATTAATTTCTTTTACTTCTTCTAGCGCGTTTTGCAGACCATTTGTTTTAGTAACTAATTCATCTTGTAATTTTTTTTCAAATTCTTTTACATCAATTTCATTAATATTTGACTTACATTTCTCTAGTTCGCTATACTTAGATAATAACTCTAATTTAGTCTCTTCTAGCTCAAGTACCATATTGGATTTTTCTTCAAGATCTGAATTAACAGTTTCAAGTTCAGTTCTTAATTTATTTAAAACGATAAAATTTGATTCAGTTTTGATTTCATTGTCTTTTATTATCATTTTCATTTCATCTATTTCACTATAAGCATCATTTAAATTGATAGATTTAGCAACCAGATTTTCTTTATTTTCATTTTCAACTTTAGTTTGGTTTTCAATTAACATATTAAGACTCAAATTCAATCTATTTAATTTTTCAATTTGTTCTTGTAATTCATTTTTAACAACATTACAGACTGTAAGTTCTTCTTGAAGATAATTAATCTTTGAATGATTAGTCTTAACTTGTTCAATAATATCAACACATTCAAATGTTAATTTATTAAATGCTTGGATACTAGATTTTAAAAATAAATTTTCATCCATAGTTTCAGAAAGCTGCTTCATGAATCTTTCCATTTCTGTATTTGATTCAATTTCCATAATAGAAATACTTTGTAGAATACAATCAAGATCATTAAATACAAAAGATTTTATTTCACCAAGTTTTGTATTTGATAAAGATAGTTTTTCTTTTAAAGATAAATTTTCATTTGACAGTKTGTTAATTTTGTTTGTGTTTTCTTCAAAATGTTTAACTGCAAAATCAATCAAACTCTTTGTATCAAAATTATCTACATTTATCTCAGAACTTCCACTGAATTCTTTGATGGTAGACATAATATATTCATCAATTGAGTTAAGTTTTAATCTCAATTCATGATTTTCTTCTGTTAAATTTTTCATTTTAATATTAAATTCATTTGTTAGTAACTTCAAATTATTGTTTTCATCTATTAAACTTTTGTTTTCTTGTTGCAGTTTTTCAATGGTATTATAAATATGTTCCAATAATTCATCCAGTTCCAATATTTCACATTTACTAAGAGTAAAATACCCTTCATCAGCTAAAAATTTAATAGCATGTGGAACTGAAATAGCTTCAGCAGTATTATTTTTCAAAAGAGATAACTCATTCAAAAGTGAACATTGTTTAGTTGATTMTGCATWAAGTTGTTGGTCTTTATTTAATAATTGTAATTTCAAAGTATCTATTTCATTGATATAAGTATTATTTAAATGATACAATTCTTTAATTTTTATTTCAAGTCTCTTAATCTCTTCTTGCTTTTCTGCCATAAAATCATCACTTAATATGGTTTTTTTTATTTGATCTTCCTTGAGTTGTAACTCTTCTCTAGTTTCCTACATTAAATAAAAAATACAAATAATAGTATGAACATGAATACTCTATGTTAGCTTGAATAAGTATTTACCTGAATTGTTGCCAGAAGTTCCATTTCTCGTTTATCATATTTATTCTTTTGTACCTCCATAATAACTTCAATATCACGTTTTTCATGTTTAACTACTTCAATTGAATTTTTAAGTTTTTCAATCATTTTTTCAGATTCATTTTTTTCAATTTGAAGATCCTCAACTTGCTTTCTTAAATTATTTAAATCTTTTAATTGTTCATTCTGTAATAAGATAACGATAGTTAAATTATACAAAAATGAAAAGTAAATATGCATATATACATTGTTATATTTATAAAAATGTGTCGGTTACTCACATTATTATAAAACATTTGTTTTTCAAGAGTTGTGAATTCTCTTAGCTCGTTGTTTTCTTTCATACTCATTTCAAACATATTTTTGTAATTATTTACCCGTTCTCTTAAAACTTTTTTAGGAGTTTCACAAACAGTGAATGGGATGTTGGATGGTCTAAATAATAAAATATTTTTCATTAACATTTACAAAAATTTAAGCTAAGGGTAATTAGTATAGATAAAGAAAACAATTAATATTATATTTAAGGGTAAATATAGAAGAATATATCAGAGTTTACTAACATGGTAACATTAATAATAATTATAAAGAAATTAAGTGGTATTGAAGAATTAAATCAGAATATCAGAACAGGCAGCAAAGAGATTAAATAAGTTGACAAGATTTATTACATGGTTACATTAGTAAAGGAAATTAAAATAGTTTAAACAAGAGAAGGATAACTATTAATTATTGAGCAAAAGTTATTTTAACCTTAATTTATGCCTGAAATAAAAATAACCATAGGTGGAGGGCTTCTGAAAATAGCAGCAACAAAAGATATACACACATTGAGTGTCACCCTCTTGGGAGCATAATCACTTTATTATTTTAACACTCGCCTAACATGTATTTAGATGGATGCAAAAAAATAAATAGTAGATGAGCTCCCTCTTCCCCCAATTAAAGCACTGTTAACTAATAATGTTATATTTTTATGTAAAATGCAAATATAGTGATGACTAATAAGTATTTTAAAATTGAACAGTTTAAGTATAACAATAAATGTCTAAATTTTAGTATTAAAATAAACATAAATAAGTTGTATAGTTATACTGCAGTTATATGACTACAAGCGAAGTGTTAATAGTGTTTGTGTATACACGAATGCTATATGCTATAGATAATATGATATTCATGGAAATGTTCTGTGTAGGTACATATTTAGAGGAAGCAAATTAAATAATACATTTTATTAACTGTCCCRTGATTTACGATACAATGAATAGAAATGTCAAAACCATGAAGGTGCATTCAAATTAAATATATATATATATTAGATTGGTAAACCTAATTCTCACATTATAGATATATTTAAAAAGATTTTTTTCACTGCATTAGTTAACTAAATAATTTGAAACTTTAACATGTTATACTGTAGAAGTAGTTTTCATTACATTTTTGTCATTTTAAAATAATTGTAATGAAATTACATAATGCATTACCAACAAAGAAATGCCGTTACAGTAACACATAGTTCATACTATAGATCAAGATCATTACCCATTATTATTATAAATTAGTCAAATTTAATTTTCTTTTATTTTCAGGCTTAATWTAATATAATAAATAAAAATAAAATAAATGGAACCAAATTAAAATCAGAAATGCTGGTTTGGATGGATCCCCTCACTTARTCAACTTATAAAAATGCTAGAGTTAAAGCGTTTTTTTTAAACAAATGTATAGATAAGCTTGCTGAAAACAATGGTAGAAGTTAGAATTTGACCATTTGACTTAATTTTAAAGTAATAGCTAATTAAAATGTATAGTATTTTAAAATACACCTGGCATTTATTTGCTTGGACAATTAAAATCAAAATCATCCCTTAACTTATTATGTAAAACCACATTTGGACTTCAAACAGCAATAACTAAACTTAAGCCAACTGCCAAATTATGACTTCACCATCATTTTCAATATCCTTAACTATATTTGTAATATGAAAAAAAAGGTTGTTCAAAAAACAGAAATATATCTATTTTTGTTAAACTAATTATCATACGGAGCATTTATTGATGTGTTATACTCTTGTTGCAAAGGAACAAAAATGTTGCAAGTAAATATTAAATAGGTAAAAAGCATTAATATCTTTAAAAAATGTACTAATTACACAATTTTTGTGCAACCAAGATATTTACTAAAATTAATGAAAAAAAATTACATGCATACAAATTTCAAAGACAAAATATGGTTAATAATATTATAGGAAACAATATTGCAATTTTATTAAAAATTTAAGAAAGCTTTAATAAAATAAATTGATATGCTTAATATCATTAATAATATATCTGACTAATAACTACATTATATTAAAGGACTATACAACAAAAAAAAATCCTAATTTTTTTTATTGTGTGAAAATGTAGTGCTTAAAAAAAGAAAAATTTTAGTCGGACAATTGCTTCGGAGTTTATTTATAAGTGGCATAAAACGCATGACGTCATAAAATCACACTGTCCACCGGGCCATATCTAAAATACACGCGTTGTGGTTATTTCGCTCGATTAAAATAACTATAGAGAAAAATTGATATAAGGTGTAAGTTACTAAAGTAYATTTATAAAAGGTTATAAATTTCTTTAGATGATCATATTATTTTTACAGTATTAAAATTTGTTTCAGGATAGACAAGAAAGTCAAAAAATTAAAATATAAAAAACAGCAAATATATTATATTAAATAATATTAAATACTTTTAATTAAAGTTTAAAAAAATGTCTTATTATAATTTATAATTTATAGTTTAAGAACTAAAATAAATATGTAAAATAAACCTCACAATAAAGTATACATAGGTATTCAAATAAGGTAGGGTCATAAAATTGAATACAGGTAAGTATACAGTAGGTTTATACTACAATAAAACAACTTACATATTTGATATTATTTTTTTATATAATATATTATTAATTATAATGTTAAATGTTTAGTGGATTGTATTAAGTAATAGATGTGGAATTACACGTTTTGAAAACC